AAAAACATCAAGTCAAGTATAGTACAGAAAAGAATATATACATACATCATCATTCTGTTATACCATATTCTTTTTCTCAGGCATATTGAATAATACTGTTCTCAATTTTGTTTCCAATCAAATTACCGGTGAATTTATTCACCGGTTAAAATATTCACCGATGCGAATTTTGACGGCTTCCCTAAGTCATGTATTTGATACGATGTAGATAGAATACATGTTTTTGTACATAACCGATACATATTTGTATCATTGGACAATATTTGAATTGACATAATTTTACAGAGTAATATTCTGGCTGTAACATTTGTACGATCAACTCGATCGCTTTTTAGTCCAACTAAATCACCAATGACGTATGCAGCACGTTGTGCAGCGGCATCATACAGGTTTTGACGTTTTTCAATGGTTTTCAAATAATTTTCTTCTGCTTCATCTCGAATACGTTTATGATGATTTGTTGGATTGAGACAAGCGGGTGGAACATCAATAACTGAATTATCGTTCAAATCTTAACAAATGGTAAATAATTCATAAGGAAGAAAACAAGCGAAGCATAAATAGAAACTACCGTCATTAGGTGTTTCTGGTGGATTCATTGATACTGTTTGTGTTTCATCTGTCAAGTTGTTGTACCAACGTTGTATCGAGTGGTATTGTTGCTGTTGTATCTGTTACTATTGGATTATGAGTAACATATTCGGTGTCAACAGGTTCCACATCGATCATTGGTTGAGCTATAAGTAGACTTCAAATAGGTGAACGATAAACTATGTCACCAAAGCGTACGTTCATTTAATTGTTCGGCAAAATCCGCAGGTAAATCTTCCTCATCTTCAATGCCAGAATCAGCCAAAATTTTCCACATTTCAAGATCACATCTCGGTTGCTGACCAAAAACCACCTAGTATGGAGTTTTATTCGTTAATTCAGCGTAACTTGTATTAAGGGTATACATAACTGGAACCTAGACAAATTAATTCGGATAAACAAAAATTCCATTTTACGCCTCTGAGTTCACCTTTTGACCATGCTTTGGTATTATTTTGCTGCATCCATTTGCCAAGTGCCAGTTCTAACGTCGGATTACTACGCTCCACCAACCCTTGGAATTGTGGATGTCTTGGTCGCCCGTTTATAATGACAAGGCCGTGCAAGAATTTTTGGGGCACCAAATAGATAAAACTGACGTGATCATTTTTCAGCACCAGTTACGGCTTCTTTTGTTTGTAATGGATAACCCCACGAGAATTCGGAGAAGTGGCCTTTGACATGCAAAATCCAGTTGAAGTTTCCATCCGATACATTTCTCATATCAATGAGATCCATTTGTAATCGTGTAAGAAAATCCAATGAGACAATCGGTTTAGCTAAAACACCATAAAGGTGAATGGAAATATTTAAAACTTAATAAGTGCTCCGCCTACGTGCAACTGGTTTTGTAAATGGTTGTCTGTTTCTACAAACATCATACATGAAAATATGTATGTTAACAACGTCCCATGGAATAAAGCTATATTGTTCTTTTACCTACAGAAGTTAAAAAATTCAACAGCTTGTTCAACCTATGAAAAACTACACACTTCTCTCCATGTTCGATCACGTCCATGATACCCAACTCGTTCATAGGATTCTTTTAGTTTTGAATACATTTGTTAGTACGTTACCACCGGATGAGTATTTTTTGCACTATAAACAATTTGTTGTTCCCTGGTTGTAACTAATTTGAAATTGGAATTTGCCCAGAATTTAAACCTTAGTGAACCCAATCCCTCTTTCAATATCAATACAGTATCTTCATACATTGCTTGTTTAATTACAAATTTATTACGAAATTTTTCATTCATATTTTGAATATGAGCATCGAGCTTTTCATAGAAGAGTTCCATTAAGAAAAAGATTTATTCATGTACGTACACGAAATTGAAAATTTCTACTCAGTAGTTACTCTATTTTCTTTTTAGACATTTCTCTCACTTGTTTTTCCGGCGGATCTGCTAGTGTATTCCAATCTCAACTATAGTGAAGATTGGGATGCTCTATTTCTTTTCCTGTTTCACTAATAAAGGATAGTCTAGTGTGTATTGTTACTTCTATCGACACTGTATTATAGTACCTTCCGATTTCCACTATAGTGTAAATTAGAAAAATCTGTATGATTTTATTTCTAGCGGAATTTCCCTATAGTGGAAAATAGAATCGCAGTTTCCACAAGTTGAAATTAGAATAGTCACTTTATTCTAATTTGCACTAGTGGAATTCCGAATTCCGCTGAATTCCAATTTTCACTACCAGATATACGTATCAGATGATACAATTACAAGGCAAATTGATTCTCATGATTACTGTTACTAAAATTGGATTATGTATGTAATTCATATAGATGTTATACTCACAAAATACATAAAAACTGAGATATCTCTCAGATAAAATTTATTTGAAGTAACAGAACTGTTTAACGGGAATTAAAATTCTGTCAGAAAGAGAAGAAATGCCTGTTGTAGAACAGCAACAATTAGTAACTGATGACCCAAGATCAGTCATAAAGATCACATAACACCGGTCATCGCAAATCGGGCAAATTATTTTGTGTCAGGTTTCGAAGGAAACAGTATACATATTCTGATTCGGTTTTTTACGTAGATTCCGAATCTGCTTTCTATTTTTTGGTGCCTAGTCTAGCTTTCGAGGAAAGAACGAAAAAGTGGTTTCACGTAGAAACTACTAGCTTGTCTCCTTTCTTTCGTTCTTTTCCTAAATGTTTCTGGCTGTCTTACTTCTCTTATTTTTTTTATATATAGAATGAATAGAACGAGAAAGAGAATATCAATGTATAGCTTATACTATATAATCAAGTTGTTGTACAGCTAATTATTCTTGTTAAACATCGAATACATATGAAAATCAACTTTAACGACTTTAGAGAAAACACAAAAACAAAAAATTAATAAAGCGTCTACGATTTTCGTACATAAATACGTTGCATATCATCATTAAGAAAATAAAATTTATTGAGAGTAGATTCTTCTGCAGAAACAGAGTCTTTGATGCTCCAATTAAAAACAACCTCTTTAGTGCGACCGGTTGGTTCTCTTGTTCGTTGACACAAAAAAGTCCTTTGTAGTTATATCGTTAAATTTTTCATTGTCTTGCAAACTATACACAGCAAGGTTGTTATATTCTTCGCGGACTTCGAATGCATGATTACCTAAAACATGAATATATATGGTGACAGCATCACTTCCAAATAGACTTTTATATCTTTCGCACCAGTTTATTGATTTCTTCTTAACATGTTGGTATATATCACTAATACTGTACAAATTCATTAAATCGAAAAAATCGTCGCATAATTTACGAATAAAAAAGGCTTTATGGTTATTTTTTATAATAGCATATAATGGAATGTTGCGAAGAAGAATATGTCCGATATTCTTAATGATATACGGTATAACGTTTAATACCGTATGAAATTAATTAACGGTATAACGTTTAATTTCATACGGTACAAACGTTATTTAAGAACAGATCGAGCAAGGAAGTGACGAGACACTTTCAAAACGACTAACACAGTGACGCAGAGATCCTTCAACTTACTGTAGTTTTTTGGGAAAAAAAGGTGCATGCTCGCATCCAAAACCTGGTTTCGATTTTCCGATTTCTTTGTATTGCTGGTCCAATGTTCGGTTGCCCTTCGCCGAGTCAAACGCCGAATATTTCCCAAATTCGGCCATATTCGCGGCTGTACAATGAGGACATCTATGTTTGTTTTGTCCTACAATGAAGGAAATGGAGTTACTCTTATTACTAGAGCCTTATTTTCTGCGAATCCTTTAGTCATAGCGTTTAATTTGTATTACCTATTATACCATATAGTCCCATAACTTGCCACATCATTTTCATATCTAAAGACATCTGGAAGTCTAATTCAAATTCTTTAAACAAACTAATTTCTTCTCCATCATATCTATAAATTCATGCGGTACTACACATTCAATTTCACTACGATCTTCTTTGTTAAACTTAAATTGTCCTAACGGTATAACGTTTGTAGCCTATTGTTTATGAATATCAGATTCAACACAACTGATTGGTGACATCAAAAAATTTGTGGATGCCCCTATTGTCGTACCATCCATATTATATTTAATATGAATAACTTCGTCTGATGCATTATCTATTATCGATCGATCACTATGAATTAATAATTTGACGGCATCGTTCACATTTAGGTATGCTCCTGTAAACGAAAAATATGAGTTTCTATAATGTGATCGGCCGATTAAAATTTTTTAGCAAAAGTACATTGTTTTATAGTTTCATTGACAGATCCTTGTACAGATAGCAGACAGTCTACATAGTTTTCCATTTGTACTTCGTCACTACTCAACTTACCGTTATTACACTTCCTAACAGGAATATTTTTATTAAGTGCTGCTCTTAACTTTTTCAACTGACGTAATGTAGGACAGGATCGGTATTGTAATTCTAATTAGTTAAAAAGTCTAATAGCTTCATCGGTGGTATTATTTTGATCTTCCAATTTCAAGAATTGTAGAAGTTTTTCGTCTAATAATAGCTCATCATCTGTAAGTTCATCATCCGTAGAGTCACAATATACCATATGCTCATAAGATGTTTTGATCAATTTCGAACGATCGCGAAGCTTGTACCTGAAACATAATTGCATAGGTAATTAGCGATGGGGGGTCTCGAGTGGGTGAAAAGCCTAAAAGGATATCGGCCGATGACTCTTTAAGATCCGATTTTCTGGAAAACCAGTTTTTCAGAAACCCTAACAGACTAACCGAAACCTTTGCTAATGAGGCATAATTGTAGCCCGCAAAATTCTCATCAACATGAGACATCTCCCAGCTCTACATGATCGTTCTTTGCAAAGTTATAGAATTTGCAAGAAAAGCTCTGAATGTTCATTGTCAGCTCAAAGCTGCAGAAATCAGAAGAAATTAATTTAGGGCTTTTCTTGCAAATTCTATAACTTTGCAAAGAAAGATCATGTAGAGCTGGGAGATGTCTCATTTTGATGAGAATTTTGCGGGCTACAATCATGTCTCATTAACAAAGGTTTCGGTTATTCTGTTAGGGTTTCTGAAAAACTGGGTTTCCAGAAAACCGGGTCTTAAAGAGTCATCGGCCGATATCCTTTTAAGCTTTTTACCTACTCGAGATCCTCTATCGAATGATGTATGAACGAACGAAATCGGAGCGGGGCACCTGGGAATGTTTCCTCGTTAGTTAATCGAACCTAAATAGAACAAATCATACAAAAGCTTAATGATTGGTTTTTTAAAGGAACGATATGCGGGTTTGTATCCCGGTCATGAGAGTGATATTCTGAGACGCCGTTTTGCCTTGTCTTTCCTTTTGATCCTGTCGATCGTTCTTATGTATTTCACTGATATACATGCGTATATATATATATAAATATATAATACGTCATTTCTCTTTCATGAACAAAGTCAAAGGAGAACAAATTATATCGTTACTTCCCGATCTTCGCACACTTTTAATTAATTTCAAATAGAGATCAGAGAATCTTCTGGGTGAAAGTGTGAGGAGTTTGGGAATGAACTAGTTTTTTATATTATCGAAATTCATCTGTCCATATATATCGGCATTTCAAAAGCAAATAAAATAATTCCATTTCTACCTCCTGTTGAATCACGCAATAAGATACTTTATTTTAATTTACTCTCCCTCCCTATACCTAATGCCCTATACCTTATACGAAAATTTTCAAAATAATTTCTTCAAAATGTACTTCTAATAGATGATGGACTTCAAGTACGTAGGGGTTACCACTGGACTACTAGTAGGTGACAAAATTTGACTGCAATAGAAGACCGCCCTTTAGAACTCGACTTGCGGGACAAAATAGAAGATCAGGTGGTCTTCTATTATGGGGGCGAGGGGTTCTACCAAACTTATTAATAAAAAATGTAGTAATAAATTTGTAAATAAAATGTTGTAATAAATTGCCTTTCCGCCTTTGATATACTTTGAAGTCATATTCACGTTTCGCCGACTTTTTTCGAAAAGTCGGCGAAACGAGAAGAGACCATTCTTTCTCTAGTTCAGAGCTTTAAGAAGCTTCTTAATTAGCTTATGGTTTAATCTGTTATCTTTCAATTTAGAACTGTTCTCCTTTGAGAATATATATGACAAAAATGTTCTCCTTCAATGGTGCATGGTTTAAAAATGTTCTCACTTGAGAAATTATTAAGAAAATTGTTCTCAATCGAAAGGTCATCTTTTTGACGACTTCCTAAGTCACCATCAATAAATAACTTTCTTCTGATGACATTTAGTCTTCTCTATAAAAATGTGTGCGAAAAAAAACATTCACTGTGGGTAAGCACATTTTCTGCTGTTTTCTTCTGTTCTTTTAGAAATGGAATATGATTCATTCTTTTTTCTTACGGGATCATCACCACGCAACAACGACTTTGCATGGTAACTTCGTTTTACAAGTAATCTGAACTCTTACGTCGTTTTAGTATTTTGCGATAAGAAAACTTTCGCTTTGTACATAGAGTAAGACATTTTCGATTATTTTCGAATTCGACTAATCGACGTTCAATTGTTCGAAATCGGTGCATGCCTAATGCATTCAAGAAAGTACTAGTTGATGCTACCGATAAAACAATTCCAATCTAAATTATTCGAATTAATCGTAGTGATCAACCCTGGTTCATAGTTAATTTTCGTATGCTGTTGAGGAAGAGAAACAGTATATAAGAGTATATAGACAATCTGTTAAAGTAAAGACGGACGATAGTTATAAGAAGTACTTATAGTGTCTCATTTTAAGACCGATAAATTTATGTCTTATTTTCTATAACAATTCAAGTTTTAAAATTAGATCATGCATAATCTAATCTAACGAGAATGGACCACCCAAGTCCACTTTCTTATCGCATGTCACGACGCGCGTCTCTTTAAAAATCGCGTAACACGTTCGCTGTAGGACTTGCGACATAAGATGCGACTTTCACGGATCACTGGTTTTTTATGCTCATACAAAAATCAATGACTGTGAAGTATTTTTCTGTAGTTACTATTTATTCGCGTTTTTCGTCTTATATTAGTAAATGAGCTACGCTACTTTTACCGCGAACGCAGACGAATGGTGTACTCGCGATGCTACCACGCAAGACTATATTAGTCTTGTCGTAAGCTATTATTAGATGTGATAAGATTTTGAAAATTTTTGACGTGTCGCGACGCTGTATCATGTAATAGAAAGTGCACTCGCGATGTGACACTTTTTTCTTACTGTGATGCTCGGAGCGCGATCGTTAAAAAGTTGCTATTGCCGCTTCACGATCGCGGATTACAAATTTTCGAAGAGTAAGACTTAATCGCGATCGCATCGCGACAACAGTGACTTCTTAGCGATCGCGGCACGACTCCGCGATCCGAACGCGAGCACTATAAGAAAACACTGTCACATCGCAATTCCGAATTATAGTTTTTTCCAAAAATAAGGGTTGGTCGTGATCGCGGCAAGATAACAGCGACTTCATAGTGATCACAGCACGCGGAGCGAGGACCACGTTCTCGACGTGAATGATGCAAGAAAGTAGAGTTGGGCAGTAGTTTCGGTTTAGCTACTGTCAATATTTTATAAGAGAAAAATGAAAGCATTCCTAGTGTATTTTCATTTTTCTGTAAGTGATTGAAAAGTACGTTTGTTCGTAACGCTGGACTCTGGCTCTCATATCAGTCTTTCTCCGTCCGTTGTACTAGTATTATGTGATTTTAAGGATAAATATGAAACTGATGGCTAATGTTGTCAACTTTTCTGGTCAATAAAAGCGTTCAATGGTCACCAATGCTGAGAGTTCAACCACTTGACATACAAATGTCAGAATCAAATAAAGAATAAGATTTTGTTGAAACAAAGAAAAAATGCTATAGTAAGTTTTTTGGTAAATTTTAAACCGAATTTATGTCTTTTTGGCTTTCATTTTTGTTTTGTTTCTGTCCAATTCGAGAAGAAGTTGTTAGAATTTTTTGGGAGGAAAAGACAAACAACATGTGTTAGGTGTACACTGTCAGCAAAAAAGATGAAAAATCATGATAATATTTTATGAGATTTTTTATGCAAGGTTTTTTCTTATTAACAGAAAGTAAAAATAGAACAGAAAAGAAAATCATTGAATTGTCGTCGGTGAGCTGAGAATAGGTAGTAAAATTTTGTGATAAAAGACTAATCGACTTAAGATTTTAGTTGGCAATAAAGATTTCTTTGACTCTTTAATGATACTCGTATGAGGGCACATTTTCTATAGAATACGAGGGATCTGAAACAACTCAGCAGAGGAAGAAAAAAGAACAAAATAGAACTTATACAATCACGTTATTCTCCTTTTCTCTAAAGGTTCTAGTGAGAATTCGTCTGAATTTGTTCATCTTCTATACTTTATATTTTTTAAGATCGTGCATTAATAAGAACAATAATGAAAAATCAGTATCTTTTAATGTATATTGCTATTATATGCTTCATATTTTTTTTACTCTTAATAAAAATTCAAAATTATTTAAAACTAAATACCATGCTTAAACATCACACAACAACTCAATTGTATACACTCGATAGTGAATGTATTACGCTGAATAATACATCAATTCGGCAGCAGCAATTTAATTATATTTATGAAAAACGGCTATGGGGTAGTAATTCTAGAAGTGGACCAGGTTCGACCTACGAAGGTATATTTTTAAAAATAACATACATTGAACTTTTATTTATCAAAATTTTGTTACTTGAATATGGTGGTTAGATACAGCGACATTACCGCGAATACAGAGAACGACATTACCGCGAAGACTTGTTTGTTGAAAAAGCCGAATAAATGAGGCCGGTTTTGTACTTTGTACATCATGTTTTCAAACTTAACTGACGCTATGTGGTGACTAGTCATTACCTGATACAGCCACAGATATCTAGTTTCCCATCACGATAATATGTTTTATGTGAAAATACTTTTCGAACTCACTCTCACAATGCCCTCCCCCACTTCCCACCTCCCTCCACATGATATACAAAGTACAAAACCAGGCTCATTTATTCTTCTTTTCCAATAGACGAGTCTCTATAAACGTCGTTCACTGTAATGTCGTTTTCTGTATTCGCGGTAATGTCGTTGGCGGTAACGTCGTTCGCGGTAATGTCGTGTCACGTGGTGGTTATGTTATAGAAAAATCTTCTGATTTTTCTAGGTGCATTTGATTGGATAAAATATTTGACTCAAATCGTGCCACAATACAATATTTCATCAATAGCCGATATACCATGTGGTGATACATACTGGCAATTTGGAGTCAGAGAAATTAATACCATTGCGTTTTATTTTGGTGGGGATATCGCATCGGCATTAATAGAAAAAAATCAGTATTTATATCAATTACATCAAAATAAACTATTTCAATATTGGGACATTGTCCAATGTGAATTGCCGACATTTTCATTCAGAAACATTACCAAACAATCATTCGATCTAGTGATAGTCAGAGATGCTATTCAACATATGAGCATTAAAAATGGTTTAAGAGCAGTGAAAAATGTTGTTCTAAGTGGTGCAAAATATTTTGCTGTATCTTCATATCCTGCTCCATGCGTTGAAAAAATATGTGCTGTTAGAAATATTGTCGATGGTGGTTTCTATCATAATAATATTAATTGTCCACCATTTAACTTTCCTATAAATGCTACTATCTTTAAACAACCATCACATAGTCAATTTAAATCCGAAAAGGATGAATTTCATATGTACAAAATTGATGATATCCTAAAACAAATTGTGAAACAATATGACAAGGCTTGTATGGCTTAAGAACTCTTTTCTTTGTTATTGGTAATACTTCTTGATCAAATATTGCAATGCAACTTTTAATGTGAAAGTGAATTTTTGTCAGAAATAAAATGGGATGCTACAGAGTAGAATTAAAACCTTCAAATCATCGAAATAGTATTTTTAATCCAAGTATCACAGTATTCAGTCGAATTGCATGTTGATATATTTATAGTTGTTGCTTTCCTTAAAGAAAACTTTACCGACAATGAATGTTCGAATAATTTATCAGTTACATAGATTGATATGACTTTTGAGTTCGAAGATACGAAATGCTTTGAGTGGATTATAAACATATCATGTCATACCACTTCGAAAAAAACGTAATAATGCAAATTCGAATGATTTGAAGCAGAATACGATCAGAAATCACATTTTTCAATATATTTTTACTATTTTCAATAATGCAACACGGAATCAGATAATTAAAGCGACATTTAGAACAGAAGAGCAGACAAAAATTGATTAATTACATCTCGCGCGTGAATATCAAGTTCCACCCTATTAAGTGTCATCTATCATATGTGCGATACACCGACAGATGAGCCTCTGACGTTTGAGCCCCGACAAATGAGCCTCGACAGATGAGCCGCACGTTTTGTCAATTTTACAAGCCCAGCTTCTAACTTCTCAGCCATAATTAAATTGGCATGTTGTTCCACTTGGCATGTTGTTGACTTAATTTAATATATTGTGTACCATCAAAAGTTACACGACCAGAACAATTATTTTTAACACAACGTCACGTAACTTGACTTTTATTTGCACGACGATAACGAAAACCATCAAGAAGAAGTTGATCTTTATCTTTAGAAGATTTTACAACAGACATTTTTAAGGAAAAGTAGGATAGTAGAATGAGCGATGTGTGTTCCTTACTCTGCGTATATATATATATTTAGAACTCGTTCGGAAGCCAAATTCAAATTTAATCAACTCATTATTAAAAAATAAATTATTAAATAAAATTTTAATCAATCAATGAATTAGCGTGAATATAACATTTTAATCAATCAAACATTAGCCTGTTCGTTAATAGTATCGAACTCAGTCATATAATGCCTATCTGCGACAGGCTTAAATGTCGAAGGCTCACGTATCGGGAGGCTTAAATATCGGGGGCTGAAATATCAAGAGCTCAAGTGTCGGTAGGCTCATCTGTCGAGGCTCATTTGTCGGGGCTCAAATGTCGTAGGCTCAACTGTCGTGTCACCAAGTCAAACCTTCACCGAACTTCTCTTGAGCTCCTCTTCAAATAAAAACACTTTTTTTATTATTTTATTCTCGCTGCGCATACGAAAGGCACAATCAACTGAATGTTTTTATTACAAGTGTGCGGTAAGAATGAATTTTGACGATTTTTTGCATACAGTTGACGATTTTGGTAGGTATAAAAAGCTCAAATTTGTCTTACGAGGGAACGTTTTTAAGTGCCCCCTCGCTTTTTCAATGAAATCTAGTGGATTATAGGTTATCGCTGATGCTGATATATGTGCCTTATTCTGTGATAATAAGACACATTAATGCGACTTAATTTGATCCTAAGTCGCATTTTTTTTTTAGAGTGTACATGACGTTTCTTTGCAAAGTTATAGAATTTCCAAGAAAAGCGCTAAATATTCATTGTCAACTCAAAGCTACAGAAATAAGAAATTAATTTAAGGCTTTTCTTATAATTTCTATAACTTTGCAAAGTAAGATCATGTAGAGTTGGGAGAGGTCTCACTTTTATCAGAAATGTGCGGGCTACAAGCATGGTTCATTAGGAAAAGTTTTAGTAATTTTTCCGAGTTTCTGAAAAACTGGCTTTCCAGAAAAACGGGTCTCCAAAGCCCTAAGAGCAGCTCTCATATTCATATTTGGAATCAGCATCAGCGATAACCTATCACCCAGTAGATTTCGTTGAAAAAGCGAGGGGGCACTTAAAAACTTTCCCTCATTAGTATGTCTGACATTTATACTTCTCTCTTTGATAGTCTATTTGTGGGTGTTTGCGGCCACCACGTCCAATTTAAAATGTCAACTATCAGTAGATCACACACTACCATAAGAACGCGTTTGTAAAACGTATGAGAAACAATATCACTCAAGGAATGTTGACACTGTTTCACGAGTTTAAACAATGAATTGAAACACGCTTGAAAATTATATACTTGAGACTATATTATACTAAGACATTGGTTGAAGAGCCAACTACGATAAATATTAACTGAATATGTTCCATTGAGCAATGGTATGTGGTTGCGTTTCGTTCAAAACATCAGTTCAAATGATCTATTTCATTGGTTATATATTTGGTTCCATAATCTTCCGGACTGTAGTTGATAAGTACCCATATAAATTTTTCTAACATGCAAACCGGTAATTGGAGAAAATGTTTCTTAAGCGAAAAATAATGGAAAAATCAAACGTAAATAATCGAAGTTCTAAGTGTTAAACGTCAATCTTCTCTCAATGAGACATAAAACAGATATATTGTGCAACAACTTTTTACTAATGAATAAATTAAACTATTAACTGATAACAATAGAAAAAAATCAACATTGTACAATAGATTAACATCTATTGCAAAAGTTTTTGCACAAAATTAGCGCTCATTTCTCTCCTTAAGAAATCTCTTTTCCTAAAACGAGAATTTTGAAAAAACCGAGCTTTTTGTAGAACGCTTATAACTTTTTGCAGTAAAGCCATACTGAGGCACGCGACATAGCATCTTGTAGATGAATGTTTGCTCTTCAAATTGATATTAAATCCAAAATTATTACAGTTCCTCTATCACAGTTGCATTAAAGTTTGTTAAAAATGATATCTTCTTTCTTTCTACAACCACAGTTTTGGAGATTATCAATATAATATCAATAACTCCAACACTAAAAATTGTGAAAATGTTTTTAAAAGAGTTATGAAAAACTTACTAAATAGTAACTTTTGCAATAGATGTTAATCTATTGTACAATGTTGATATTTTTCTATTGTTATCAGTTAATAGTTTAATTTATTCATTAGTAAAAAGTTGTTGCACAATATATCTGTTTTATGTCTCATTGAGAGAAGATTGAAGTTTAACACTTAGAACTTCGATTATTTTCGTTTGATTTTTCCATTATTTTTCGCTTAAGAAACATTTTCTCCAGTAAGATTCAAATTAGTCAATATGGTCTAAACAGTCAAAACAGTCAAAGTGGGGAAAGTGATCGAAATAGTCTAGGTAGTCAAAATAGTCTAAATAGTCAGAATCGTCAAAACTGTCAAAGTAGACAAAATAGTCTAAAGAGTCAAATTAGTCAAGATGGTCTAAACAGTCAAAATTGGTCAAAACAGTCAAGATAGCCAAAACAGTTAAAGTAGTTAAAACAGTGAAAACAGTCGAAATAGTCAAAACAGTCAAAATGGTCGGGTCGAAACAGTCCAAAAATAGTCAAAATAGTCAAAACTGTCGAAATAGTGCAAATAGTCAAAGTAGTTAAAATAGGCAAAATAGTTAAAGCAGTCGAAGTAGTCAAAATGGTGGAAGTTTGGGAATTAGGCGGTGTGTGTGTTGGTTTATCTGTGATAGTGGTTGTGTGTTGGACAAGGGTGAAGCGATGTTAGCATCTACCGACAAAATCGCTTGATAAGAAGAATTGGTAGCATCGCACCTCGATCAAAATAGTTGCAAGTATTAATTTTAAACTTATGAAATAGCTTGATACAAAACCACATTTTAGAAAAAAGTCATACGCTTGATAAAATAACAATTTCCATACGCATTATCCAGGTCGTTGATTCCGTCGTCAGGATCCTGATGAGACCTGCCGGATCCGACACTAGAACATGCCGGAAGTTGTCGGAATTCGGCAAAATCTGCCAGCAACCATAGCGGAAGTCCGTTACCCGGGATCTGTGCCGGAAGATGCCAGAAAAGATCCGACCGGATCCTTTAGACAGTCCGAGTCGTTAAAGTTCAAGCCAAATCCGAGCCCGAGTCCATTTCGAGTCCGGTAATCTTTTAGGTTCTTTTTGAATGAGGGTGGTTTATATTTTAATTTGCTGAGCCGTGGTTAGATATTTGATTTTTGGAAAATACGATTACGTCCGTGCATGTCCGTCTCTGGAACAAAATTTTCAATTTCATGTGAAGCAGTGGGTGTTGTTATTTCGATTTTCATTTTTCTCTGCTCATTTGTGTTAAACGTTGAATAGATCGGACTCGAAATACAAAAACTCAAGTCCGAGTCCTTCAAAAAAATCTCCAGTCCGAATTCGGACTCGCCCATGCCTGATCTGAGATATATCTCTGCTGACATTTGCTTCACATTTGTCTCATGATTCTTTTCAGAAATGAGGAAAGAGAACAGTTGGGTACTTCCGCACTGTTTCGCCCATCACAACTTTTATCCTTCAAAATCTCACTATGCCTGTTTTGTAGAGCTCTTTGAGTCATATGCAAATCCACCTTTTTTCTCTTAGATCTTATGTAGAACATGTCGAAAAGTGGTCAGAAAAGTCTATTCTTTTACCTTGAGGAGGTCTAGGAAAATCTGATGTTTGACACCTAGTGAAGGTGGCAGGAAGAGCTATTGATACCTCCATTCTTACGGTAGTAGGCAGAGCTATTGATACTGTTCAACATAACAGTATGAAACGTAATTTAGAGCAATTCATTGAGTGTTTCTTCCTACCATCTCTGAGCCTGGCGGTGTCAATAGCTGCCTTCTTTCGTCAATGCTTCTTGCCACCACCACTTAGTGGTGTCAAAAGCCTTTGCTGACACCTCCTAGTGGTGTCAACAGACCCACCCTAAAAATTTTCCAATTAACATTGATCTGGTAGAGATGTTGAAGTTCAACAAGATATGCTTACACTTTCAGGGTACTCTACCACTCATTTTCAAACATATCAGACCATGTTTTTTCGTTTACTTCTTCTCAAATATATGTATATCTCTATTCGAATGCTAGAGGCCTATTATTTTTTTTCAGGCAGATCGAACTGTGCTCAGTTTTCTTTCCAATCCAGTTGCCAGTGAAAGATTTTCACTGATACAAATTTTTATCGCTTCCTTTTACATATTTTGGTGAATTTATTTATGAAATTTATGAAAACCAAAAAAAATTTTGTCGTGAAGTGAAGAAAAAAGAATGTTAATGTACTTGTAATGTAAAATCTTTTCGGAACGAATAAAAAGTAAAACAATTCATTTTTTGGCCTTTCTCCTCATTACAAATTATAAACAGAAAAGAAAACAAGATCACAAAAAGCCTTTTTTTTAAGACTAATCTGACCGTGTTTCGATACAGGTAAAAAGGAGAATTTCATATAAAAAGTGATGTATTTTAGTTACAAGGGCAGTGAATCATAATATGTTTAAAGAAGAACTTGGTAAAAAGCATCGTTGTTTTGGTGAGTATAAATGTATGCGTTGTGGTCGACGTTGGCAAAGCACCCATGCTTGGGCTAATTTCGGCCAGGAATGTGAACATTGTACAAGTCAAGTTAAACCTCATAATTTACAAAAACTATATGTTTACATTTGTAATTGGTGTGACAGGAGATGGTCTGATCGATATAGTTCAAATGGTTTAAAATGTCACAATTGTGGCGGAAGTGACCGTGTGCTACCATTGAATTACGATGATAATCGAGAATATATCCATGCACATAGATTACGACATTTAAATGATGGGGATTGGGAAAATTATATTGATAGGAGTAAGCCACATCGAGAAGATTTATGTGAAAAATGCCGAATGTTACAAGCACCTTGTTGGGTTTCACGGCATCGTATTAGACAGAATAATCTAACCGACAGACGCTCGATAGCCGTGCCATGGCCTCCTGCGCCCAACACAAGTTTTGTACAAGATGATTCATCCAGATCAGCACCTGAACATGATCAAAATGTATCCGTAGGAGAATCAGTGTGTATATTTATCGTCGTTGTTTTAGCGGCCATTTTATTACTGGCAACAACAGCGGTGAAAGTCCCGAAGTAGAAATTATTACATCTTGTAGAGCAGACAATTCTCTACAAACTGGACTAAGAAGCCCTGTTTCAAAACCCCTGTAACACGGTCAAAATTGCATTACAATTACCATGAGAACAACTTTACCATCATTCACAACGAACTTTATTTTAAAAGGAAAAAACATTATTTTTATAGCAAGTCGAGGTCGCTAAAATAATCCTTTATTTCTAGTTGCCCTTGCTCGAGCACTAGTCCGTAACCCCAAAATTACTTTACTTGACAAAGGCACCAGCGTCAAGGATAGGCAAAATCAACCTGTTTCTTTTATTTCTACCATACCGTTTCACTCGGTCGACTTTCCAGTCTTTGAGTTGGGGAGTTGGTCTCTAGTTTAAATTGTACTGCTTAGACGAAGCATCAACTAGAGCGATAAAAAGACTTTTAGTTACATGCCTGAGAAAACCGTTTATACCTGATTAAAGGTATTAGCCTAAATATAATTATGCTCTGTACTAGCACAGTATTGAAAGTCTTTGTTACAAAAGTCTTTCTTAGCTTTATCTTCACATTATTTATTTATAGCAAAGTAGGAAAGCAAGAGAATGTACAAAAGCTGTATTGTCATAGTTATTGTTTGTTTGCTTTTTAATCTTATATGATGTAACAGTTTATTGTGTGTGCAACTGGTTTTTTGAATCTCGTCTTTATTTCGATATTTTTAGCACTAGGTGGTGCTGGTCGTGTTTGTATAAGCCTTTTACCAACGAATGCTTGTTGAAATTCTTCTTTATAAGTTCTCGGCGGTAGGACATAGAGAACAAAGCCAAGAATTTGTGGCAAATAGGAGAGAAAGTATGCTGTCAATAATGTATAACGTTGCTACACTTGTTTCAATTCAGTACATGCATACGTAAATGTCAAGACAGCCTGTGACAATGAACTTAAAATAATAATAATTGGTGTGACATAGTGTTCTTTTTGTGTTTTAAATTGTTTTTTTAATATAACTAAAAATGTTTGTTGTCCATCGGTTGTACGTGCACGACTACGAGATGTTTGAACAATAAGAATAATTATTGACAAAACTTGTATAAGAAACGGAATAAAATAAGGAATGAGAATATTAACACGATTGTAAATCGAGATAAATTCTTGAACATAATTTGCAACACATAAAGTAATTCTTTTTGATGTATCTGATGGATCGAGAATATTGTATAATGAAGGATTTCATGAATATGCATGCGAAAGATGATTAGAACAAATATTAGAATTAAGCCAAGTGCAAAACGTGATTTTTTCAATGTTGTTGATGTTGAAAATACGACTATACAAAGACTCAAAATGGATTGAATATTGCCATACAGCAATAAAGGTAACAGAAGAATCATTGCGAAGGACGTATGCTTCAAATACTACAGTGTAGGCATCGAACGGTTAACCGTAACCGTAAATAATCGGTTTCAGAGATCGAAACGGGTCGGGTCGGGTTCGGGTCAATGTAAAAAATATTGGTTCGGGTCGAAGGAAAAAAAATTTCGGGTTTTATTCGGGTCTTGCCACTAGAACACAAATCAAGAGAGTTTCGTCGGTTACAATTCACTCTTCTATTTTCGAACACATGTCTTTTTTATCAAAAAGAGAAGTACAGTGTTTTTTCCTTTCTGCTATGACGCTGTGTAATGTACAGTCTCGTACTGTTAAAGCAATATGTAGTTGTAACTACATTTTTTTATTATTTTGCTGGTGTCAAAGAAAAGAAAAAAGAGAAACATAACTAAATCAAAAAAAAACCAACGACTTAGATATGCCTCGCATTATGATGATTAGACTTCATGATAACACACGATCGAGACAAACGGTTTTCTGTTTCGAGTTATTGTTAGGTCAACTAAGAAAAATTTTCGGGTCATTCGGGTCCAGTTTTGAAAATTTCGGGTCGGATCCAAAAGCTTTCGGATCGGGTCGGGTTCGGGTAAAAAATGTTCGGGTCGCGTCGGGTTCGGATCATCCACGTAAGACCCGATTCGGTCTCTGATCGGTTTATAACAACTCAGTGTATACTTGGTTTTTAGTTCGTTGATATCGGTTTACATTAGAAGTAAACGAAGCCCGTAATCCTAGATCCGTAACGAAATCTCGTAAGAAACACGTTCTTGTGTCGACGTGCGATTACTACACTCGTGACTTTCAATGCTATTTTCGGAATCCGCATAGTCGAGTGTCTATTCTGTTTCATTTTCATCCACTCAAGTCGAAAGTACGTTTCTGATCAATAGAATGCACCCTAGAGGTCTCTCATACTCATTTTTGGATTCCTCATAGTCGATTACCTACTCCCTAGAATTTTCATAAATTTATTAGTAGGTGCACTATAACGCCAGGACAAAGACCATCCTTGTCTACTTCTAATGTAAACCGATATCAACGAACTAAAAGCCAAGTATACACTGAGTTGTTATAAAGCGGTTATTTACGGGTACGGTTATGACCGGTTACGGTTAACCGTAACTGTTGCAGGCCTACTACAGTGTACAATTGTGTACCATTGCGATTTAGTCGCCTTTGTTCGGTAAATTCGGATGTTTGAGAATATAACAAATAGAACTTTTATTTAATATAAGTGTCGGCTGTTTCCATTTGTGGAATAACATGGAAAACGTGATGATCCACAACACGATCTGCAAACCATAACATTGCTAAAATTTGGATTATAATATTCTGATTAGCAGGTGTTCTGGAATACATTGTATTAGTAATATCAACATGTGTGATTACTGTTATACGATCTACTGAATATTCACAATTAACACCGGTATACGACGGTGGACCGAAACAAACTGTTTCCGACCTACGATCAACAGCTACGCCACACTTGACATACATGTGACAATTAATATAGATCAATATCATTATTAACAATATCATTCACATCTTTCAATTTATTCTCGATTACTGACTGATTGTCTTCAGTTGTGGTGTGATTAGATTAATTTTTCTTCGATGGCTAGACAATTCTTCAAGTGGATAATGCATGAACTTCAGTGTCGGTATTGTTAAGTCTTTTGACAGTCGATATCTATCATGAGCATCGTTTCCAAAATAATATCAGTACTCATCTTCCCCATTCGAACAATCGTTATGTCGATTGCTACTAATGACCTAGAAATAAAATTCTGTGCTGGAATCTGCAGTTCAAATGAACACTTAGCATTCTGTATCTACTAATTTCCTTATTATTTGTTCACTTTTTAAATTACATATATTTTAACATGTTCTTTATATACAAACTATCAAGCTTTAAATACATTTTCTCTAGTTACAGTAAATATCAACGCCGTGTTCAATTTAAATATCGTGATTTTGGAAGAACAGGAAGATTTTTCTCGTAAACCAAAACGGTGATTTTTCTTCACAGAGATAGTCTTCATGTGAAATTCTTCCTCAAAGAAAGTGACCTTTTTTAATCACGAGAATATTTTAAAAATATGCATGTAGGACTAAACCAAAAGGAACGAAAAAATCTGTGAAATTACTTTTATGTCTATATATGGGATGACTAAAGGAATGATTAAAAATCGAGACAGTGTATGGTGCTTATTGCAAAATGCTAGTTGAAACTGTGATATTTTGATAGAGAAAACTGAAATTCGAATAATTGTAAGATAACAGCAGTATCGGAATGTTCATCAATTTTTCACCATTCCTCACTGTCGTCTTCTGTCAAAACTAATCCATTTGAATAACCCTTGCGAGAGAATCCGAGGTGATACCCTCCATTTCGAATGAGTTATACCTCAATCGATAGGGTATAGCGAGCTAGTAGAAACCCCTTCATGACTTTTGAAATTCCGGTTTTCTGGAAAATCAGTTTTTCAGAAACTCTAAAGATAGTCAACATCTTTCTTAGTAAAGCATGATTGTAGCGCGGACATTTTTGATTAAGACGAGACGTCTCCCAGCTCTACACGACCTTTCTCTGCAAAGTTATAGAATCTACGAGAAAAGCCTTAAATTAATTTTTTATTTCGGTAGCTTTGAGCTGACAATGAACATTTAGGGCTTTTCTTGTAAATTCTATAATTTTGCAAAGAAAGGTCGTATATTTATTGTGACATACCAGTGACGAACATCATTATGAGGAGCATAAGGCATTGGATCACTGACTGGCAAATTTTAAGAGACATCATAACATTTCATCACGTAAAATAACAAAATTCGTCACGAAGAAAGAGATTCAAGATCAAGAAAATATTGATAAATCAGCTGACGAGTTTATGAAAAGGTGCAACAACTAATTTCGCACTATCATTCAAACGAAGTTTTGAAGGCAGATCCGATAGGTATAGATCGTGAACTGATCTACTCGTACACCGTCGTTTGGCGGTGAAAATCACGCGACAGCAGCCTCTTTCTACGTAACGATTTTTGTTATTTTACGTGATGAGTTCCTCAGGGCAGTATTCTTGGCCCGATTTTATTTCTCATATTTATAAACGATCTTGCACCATTTCTCAAATCTTCTCTTCTTTCTTGTCTGTTTGCTGACGATGTCTTCTGCGTTACAAGCAT